AAGCTGCAGCATCTTTTTCTTTGTGGCGCAGAATCGATGATGACTCTCAGGGGATGGGTTGGTCTTGCAATGCAGCGGCCCCCTCCTACACAAGGCGGTAAGCTCTGAACATCTTACATTGTACCCATATCCTGGTCCTGTGGCCTCATGCGATGAATCTCTCAGAGTTGCATCCGCGTGTTCGAGAGTTGCTTCACTGGACTGGCCTTGGCTTCTTCTTCATACAAGACACGAGATAGATTCCACACATTCTGGGCCCAAGTGCTTGGCCAGCTTGCGATCGAAAAAAGTGGGGTTGGGTTGAACTCGGAAGGAGTTGAGCCACCGATTGCCTTGACATGAAACAGTCATTCTGGTTCCAATGGTTTGGAGAGCGAAAGTGTGCCCCAAAGAGACTCACGACTAAGCCTGGACTAAGCCTAAAACCCGAACCAACAGGAAACACCTAAAGGCCATTGCTCGAAACAAGCAATGAAATGGCACCCCACCGCTTTCGGATGAAGACTTTCCGTTCAAATACGAACTCGTTTGGAGACTTGGACGCTGGCAGCTCCGGCTCCGGCGGCCATCTTCCAGGGCAGAGGCCGGGGAACCACCGGAGTTGGCCTGCAGAGCGCGAATCGCTGCCTTCTTGGAGCTTTCAGAGCAGGATGGGAGGAATCTGTTGAAGTACAACCAGAGGCTGCTTGAACTTGCCATGTGCGTCCATAAGTTTGAAACATGCATCTGCACCGAAATGTAGCTGTTCGTGAACCCCGTGCTCAGCCAGAGCAAACAAACTTCCCTCTCGCCTCGAACTGGAACCTGAATCCTGAAATTCAAATGCGCACACCCAACCCAAAGTACGATTTCATCTGCTTCATATGAGCATAGCACAGAATCAGCGTAAGAATGTTCTCGAGGAACTCTCAGATCCTATGGGCCAGAGACAGTGTCACAGCGATAGCCTCATGGCGGTGCCACAGCTTTGGACAACAACCACGGGCCGCACCGGCCTGGGATCTCATGTATCTAGAGTAGCCAGATGTGAACGTACACATGGTCCACATCTGTGCTTGCTCGCCCGAATTGAACCCATGCTCGCACGGTCTGCAGCCGCAAGCTTTCTGACAAGATTCGGCGACAGCGATCGCGTTATTCGCGTTGCTGTCAGCGGCTCCTGAGACGGTATGGGCAATGGTTTGTACACGTAGGTCATGGCGGGTTTTCTCAAAGCGCTTGCAAGGCGCCTGGTTCTAGAATCAAAGTTTGAGGGTTTCTGGGATTCAGGTTCAACACTTTTGCGCATCTTGCCAGTACGTGGGACATCATGATCCAACGAAATATCTGCCTGACATGCGGGTGGATGCCGTCTTGATCTGTCGAAGCGCCCAACGCCGTTTGCAACAGGCAGCAGTCCAGACCACTTTGAGGAGCAACGATCAGCAAGCCCAACTTGCGGAGTTCCAGAATGCCAGACAGCGACTCATTTGAAACATGTCCTTGCCAACCCTAACCTCCTGACCCCCACGGCTTTCCAGCACATCAAGGCATCTGCTCACAAGGAGCAGCAAAAGCTTATTGATGACTTGACCGTACTCACACGAAAAACTATGCCAGCAGTTTAGAATATTCTCTCGAGGTTGTCAAAGTCAAAAAATCCTATGGTCGGGTAAGATGCTTTCCGTCTGCAAGGTTGCAGGCTTCTTGATCCGGTGAGTTGGTATAAAGCTTGGGGACATTGGCAGGTGGAGCAACCGAAGAGCCCAAAGAATCCTTTTCGAAGCTTTTTGGACGCGGAGCTTTGGTTTGGACTGCAAAGCAGCGCCAAGCAGGTGAAGCTTAGCCCACCCGCTTAATCACCTGTGTTGAGTGGACCAGGCGGCTCTGTACACCGTCGACTCCTCGACCCTGCCCGGGATACGGCTCTCATACAAAGATTCGCCTGTGCTTCTGGGAATCTCAGTCAAAGGTGCTGATAGGTCCCGGGTGGGTGTGTGAAAGACTCAGGAAGACCTCACAACTTTAAGATCCAACTGTGGATCAAAGGCCTGCATACCTTGAAGTACTGCGGCGATGGTTTACGTGGATGTGTAATGGTACTGCTGGAGATGCCTTGCAAAGATGCCTTCTCAACTTGCACTCAGACAATTATGGCCTCTGCGGATGAGCTATGCTTGATCATTCGGTGGCCCTTGAAACCCCAGCATTGGACCCCCCAAGAGGTCCCAGTGAGTCCTGGCCAGGCTGCGCAGGATGCCACAACAACAGCGGTAAACTCACGCAGGGGTGCAAATGTCGAGTATTGGCAGAGGGCGTACTAGTGCTGGATTTCGAAAATTCTCATACACTTTTGAACATAAGTGGCATGAGCATGACCGCTCAGAAGCATAAAGCAAATCCATAATGAAACAATGCGTCGGAGGCGCACCAGCACCAGAACTACCGGCACCACAACCTGATCCCCACACCTAGCACCATCAGCACCATCAGCAGCCCAGCAGCAGCACCACCACAACCACCACAACGCGAGCACCAGCACCAGCACTTCCACCAGCATTGCCATGTTTTGCAGTAGACATGCTCAGAGTTGGGAGCTCACCAGGATTTATAGGGTGAACCGGCATACACGACGTGTAGGGCTTAGTCGAAACACACACTCTGAACATTTGCATTTGTATGTGGAGCAGAACATGGATACGCTCCGTCTGACTGCTGTCTCTGCAGTGCCTGCTGCAAGGTTTCAGAATGACTCACAGATTAACAAAGGACCCTTGAGCAACCTCGTCCCGCCGGGATATTTAACGTGTTCTTTATACAAAACATTGGTGAAAAGGACAATCCCCCAATACACCCTCAAAATGTAGCATTCCGTGTTACAGGGACGGGAAGAGCTGGGTAAGAGACCTCGGAACAATCTTTTGAGTACATAGCCAAAGGGGAGGCAAGAGGAGAGGAGGGCAAACACGATCAGCGCGTAGGGAAAATTGGACATGAGGGTAGAGGATAAAGCTGAGGCGAAATGGGGAGCAAGCACAAACACCCGCTCCAGAACCGGAGTACCCAACCCTTGCTGCTAGCAAGCCTCGACCCCAATAGGCCAGAACCGAGACACCCTAAAAACTTCCGGCATCTTATCTGCTTCTTACATCAGCCAGGAGGCTGTGGAAGGCTTAGCTCGTTCCAGGGTCCAGGGCCAATGTAAAATCGAAACTCTTTTGAACATTACGCTCAGGACAATTCGAACCCCAGCAGGTGAGACGCCTCCCAAATGGAGGAAGTGGAACCCCTACATCTTCAGCAAAACTAATGACATCACCGATGAAGAAATCGCCACCCTAACAGCAAGTTAGTCTTCCGGAAGACCTCATTTCGGGAATCACCGCCAAGAGGATTTCTGATCATGCGAGGCCAGTTTGCAAGGAATGATCCATTGAGTATTCCAATTAGCTTTGACAGATGCGGAGAGGCCGAATTGGAGAGCTGTTGGCCGCAGATGATATCTATTCTCCAACTCCGTATTAGAGTATGCGATATTAGGGGCAGACGTCGTCGATCATTAAGGGAAAGCACCTATTTTGGACTGTCGTTTACAACTTCAGAACTCGAAGCTCCCAAGCTTGTAAAAAGTTCTTTGAGCATCACACGGCACTGCAAATGGCTTGTTACTACTGCACAAGCCCTAGTTTAAGACGGCTCTAGTTGAATGAGCCAGGTGCACTCAATCCCGACAAGATAATAGTGAGACAGTAATGCTCAGAATGCTTCTGAGCTCTAAACCCTAGACTCTGCTCTCAAGACCCACAACCAGCCCTATCCCTCAAGCGTTGGGCTCCACAATGTTCGACGTGAATCCTAGTGGCAGGCACCAATCCGGAATTGGCAGAGACAGAGGTAACCCAGACATCCCAAGGGCTTGGGAGTTCCAATGTGCTTCAGGGGTGATCTCGGGCCAGCGAGCAGGTGCGCAGGAAACTTTCCAACAATGTGAAGGGCCAACCGCTGCGGAGGTTTATGCTTCGGGCATTTCGGTTCTTGGACATTTAACGCACAGGTGACAGCTCACCTGCAAACATGAGATGAGTCCACCCGTCTAGTCTTGCCGGAGAACTGGTAGATCCTGGCGATGAATTGGCGTAGAACCTCTGTTGATCACATCTCCTGGTCAGCTCTGCGGCTTCTGCAGCAGTTTGTTGGGGAGTCTGGGATGAATGCCATACTGTCTCCATAAGCGAAAACCCAGGCTAACTGAATCTAGGCTCCCATAGAGTCAACTGTGCAAAGCGCGGGCATGCATCTTCTTGCTGGCTCAATCAAACATGAGGGTAACATTAAAAATGGGCGTTCGAAGATGGCTCCTTCGTGTCTCTTGACTCCACGCGGGACCCTAGATCGCACAAATCACTACGGCTTGCGGCCCGCAGGACGAATTTGGCAGTACTACAAGGGCCGAAAGGATTTTCGAAGAGGCAGTTGACCCGCAAATTCTCCTCAAAACGCCTCGCACGATATTGTCACAGATTACCTAGAAACGGCAATCTCACCTTACGCACTTCGGTCCTTGGTAGCAGGATCTTTCCTGACTACATGAAAAATTTGAAGAGGTTGGCGAACGGCAGCTACAGTTGTTGCGCCATTGGGGATGCCGGGGAAGGACACATCGGGGAAACTTTGTCGTCCCTCACCGCTCAGACAACTCCGCGACACTCCCTTGTGCTTCAAGTCTGCTGCATGCTCCACATGCTTACCAGGACATTACCCTGGAAGCCCTCATGGAACGTGGGCTTCCCCATCTTTTCAGCTTAGTTTGGGAGAGTGGGGTACTTACAGGCAGCTGTCAGAGTTTGCGCTCGATTGAATGCTCCTCCACCATGGCCAGTTTTGACGAATACCTGAAATGATGCTCATATGTTAGGCCTGGAACCCATGGGAGGCAATTCCTTCAGAAGCTGCCAGGGAAACTCCAACGATTCTGAGAACTGCCCGAGTGTGGCATGCAGCTTCTACATCACGCAAGGTTGTTAAGCCTCTTGCACATCTGCCTCTTGACGCGCGCCAATCTTGTCGCCCTTGGCAGCTAACCTGTCCAATCTCTCATCAGATACTAGCTGTGAGCGCTTGGAATATCACCATTTGCTCAATACACGAAAAGTCCATGACATCCCACACCAGATCAGCAAATCGGGAGCCTACGCAGAAACCTGAAGACCTGCTTGTGTTCTCGCATGTTTACCTTTCATCCCGCCTTCGAGCGTGGACCTCAGGAGTGATAGGGAAACGCCACGCCGCAAAGGTTGCCAGCACCACCAAAGCCTGGGCTGCGTGGCAAGCATACGGGCGGCGGTAAATCCAACTGCACCAAAGCGGACCGTTTGGACTAATACAAAGCGCACCTGCTTTGAGCGAGTCTGCTTCTGAGGAAGGTGAGTTTCGCGCTTACGTACAGCTTGGGTGTGTCTGGCCACTTTGAACCAAGTTACTAAGTTACTAGCTTCTTGCATTTGCACATAAATTGACAGCTTCACTGAGACTGTAACTCGAAAGGAAAGAGTGATTCTGAAAAGGCCGCGGGGCTGCGGGGACAGGCCCGACAAGCCAACGCATCGCTTGCATCACCGCTTCCGGCTGGGTGTCCTCTCTGGAGGAGCTGGGCTCAGAAAAGGTCTCGAAAAAAGGGCTTCAAGGTTTTAGGGTTGCTCTCGCTGACTCGGCATTCCTAGGGCTTGTTGAGAGCTCCCGAGAATCTCCCTCAACCAGCTTATTTTTTGGTCGTTCCGAACGCCGGCACCGTTTGTAGAGGTTCTGGCTGTCAGGAGCTGGGGCTGAAGCTGCAAACAAAACTTTTAGACAAGAAAGCCTAAATTTCGGCCTCAGACCCAAGCCACCAAGCAGCTTGGCAAGAAACCCTACATCCTGAACGCACTGGCGTGCTGAAGCCAACAAGCGCCCATCATAAAGAACCGATCCGAAACGCAATGCAAGCAAATCTAAGACTCAAGTTCTGCCGACCGGTCCGTCACTGCCAAAGGCGCAATGCCCGTCAGAGACCCATCGCACGTGGAACTCGGAGCCACGTAGCCCGCCTGCTCTAGAATCGGTGCATTTCCGTTCAAATCAACACGAGAGCATCCCGGATTTAACTTGTCCCTTCAGACATCAAGCGATTCTGTCCCTGCATCCTACACAGGGGGCTGAGTATTTGAGTCATTGGTTTCCCAAAACGTTGCATGCATAATCAACTAAGCCTCCCACCATCCCAGAGACATCAACCATACCCAGTGACAACGCGACCCGGAACCCCAAATGATACGAGTCACACGCAGCAATAAAATCATCGTATAATTTTCCAAAGCATGCCCCTAGACCTCACAACGTCACCAAACAAAGCCATCCTGCTCCAGGGTAAAGTTGGTCACGACATTTGCTGCCGTAGCTGACAGCTTCAGCGATGTGGTGAAAAGTCCCGCAAGGATTCCTCAACTGCTAGGAATCTCTCCTCTGAATGTTTGGGTCTTGGCTGCGTGTTGAGCTTTGCACATTCGAATTCAAATCTGGGTTGAGCTATTGCGTATGACTGGCTCTGAGATTTTGTTGGAGTCGTTTAGGAAAGGACTTTGCATAGTGGTGATCAGCTTGCTAGGGCCGTGCAAGCTTCTGAAAGGACAGGGGCGCTGGCTGCGCTGGCTGAGGTTCGGAGGTTCGGCATGGAACGCTTCTGGATACTCCCAACCTGGCCACCTTTGCAAACCTTTCAACCCAGCATGACAAACAATACCTGGATGATGAGTCCCGAGTTCCCTCGCGTCTTCGTCCAGTCATCTCCTCATCGGCCTCAACCACGTCTGGCAGCATCGAGACGGGAACCTCAGACTGCTGCACTGCTTGAGGCCATCTTCGTCCATCTATTGAAAAGGACGGGGGGCGAGGTAGGGCACTGCCAAGGCCACGCCGATGATCCCCGCGGCCACCACTGCCGCGGTCGTGTCCGCGATGAAGTTTAAGAAGGCCATGGCCAGGGCCAGGATGCCTCAAAAACATTGAAATGGACGATGGCAAAAATCTAAAAAAGAGGGAAAGTCCAAGAGCTCGGAGTTCCGAAGCTTCAGTAGAGACACAGCCACCGATCATGTAGACGTGCCGCTTGCTTGTCTTGTGGCCGATCAAAACCTTGGGCATGCATCACAGAGCCGAGCAAACACCAAAATTGTCCGCCATTCACTCTAGCAAACGGCGCAAAAAGCTTCGAAAAGCCTGCGTGAAGCTTAGTATAGATGCTTAACGTCAGCATCCTCCATGTGATCAGTCCTGTGCCCACAGCTCAGCTCGCTTAACTCAAGGTGGAACCTAAAGACAGAGCATACATCTCCCATTGCGACACCTTCTTTACATGTCAAAACGCGGCTAGGCCATTCCTTGTACCTCAAGCTCTAGACACCTTCTGAAAATATTGCAGTTAGCAGAAGGATGCACAGACTGTCGGACACTTCAACGCCGACGTTTGACACTGCCCCTGTCCGCATCTGGGTTGTGACTGCAATGGACTCCCAACACCACAAACCCGTATCCCCTGGAACGCTGCAGTGCAAAAAGAAAAAAAACACAAGACGAGGCCTAGGCCAGCATTACGGCGCTGAACCCGTCATGCCTCCTACCTTTTAGACAACAAGATATAACAAGAAAAACTCATAGACCACTTCACCACCGCAACGGAAGCAGACAGCCCTTGCTTAGACGAACTGCCCATGGTCTTGGTGTTAGACCTCCCAGTCAAGTTGCCCAGACCGGAATCATCAATAGCCCAATGCCCTGTACAATCGGAAGTATCATGATCAGGATGGACCTAGGCGCGATGGGCTTTGTGTCGGGAACAAATGGCTGTATGTTGGGGATGTCCCACTGTGGGATTTGCAGCATGCATGAGGGGCCGGCATGCCAGGAAAGGCAGCTAGTGGCACTGTAGGTAAAGCTTGATGCATTCTGACTCGCGATTACATACCAACCCTGGCTAGAATTTCTAGGGACGGACTCTTGTGTTCAAGACCTCGGAAGCTCGTACAGTATGGCGGTTGAGTTTGAAAACATGGATGTCAGCCCTTGCCTTGCGAACAAGAAGTCTTCAGCACAAACCATGTGAGAACCCAGGCTTGCATGTGCTGTCGTAAAATGGAATCCATTGCAACACGCTTTGCAAAGCCAAGTGCGAGTGAATCCCTGAAGAGTACTCTCATTGCGAGCTTATCAGTTCTTCATGAAGGTAGTTCCCCCTCTGCTGGGTGGCTCATCCTTGAGGATGTACTTGCAGAAGAGCGCGATGTTGGACTGCATCAAAGTCACAGCTGTCGGCCCTGCCACGTACCTGAGTCGTACAATTAAGCTTGAGGCTTTTGTGCTTAAGGTCTCGGCGATGTTCTAACAGTTGGAGCTTTGGCTGCAGCTTCTGGGATCCCGCGAGCAGGCTCACCAAAGAGATGCTTGGGTATCCTTACCTCATCGATGGGCTTTGCCTGGAATTTTCACCGGGATGCCTCTTTGCAAGTGAGGCTGCCTCGTCCCCCAGAATGGCTTTTTGCTTCTCGCAGAGCACCCCCATCAGACTTTGGAAGCAAAATTGCCGCAGCATAGCAGTCACACCTGGTTGCTTGTGCCGCTGATCCGTCATTGAACGAGGCACAGGTTGCTGCTCAACACCACGCCAATCGACTAGCAACTAGTCGCTGGTCGGCCCTCATCCCTCGCACACGTGTGCACATGTGGAGACACACGCCTTGTCGTACCACAATCTTGCGCTTTGAGAACTCTCGGACTGCAGTGTCCAAACTCAATACCATGTCAAAACACAAGCGCCGCCCATTCTGAAGCCCCTAGGCTGAAAGCCCACAAACACAACTTCACAAGTCAGTGGCCGGGGGCCTTCTGCTTTGCGCTTGGATTTTTAACAATGCTCCAGAACATGTTCCTCGCGGAAAGTTAGATCTACCCTCAAGCACCTGGAACTGCCGTCCACTCTTGTGTTCAAGATGTAGGGTAATTTGAACTTCCGCTTGTGCTTTAGGTGAGGCAGCCGCAAAAAAAAACACACGAGTGAGGCGTGCTCTATATTGCTATCAAAAGCTCATAGTTGCAAGGCCGAGGGTTTGGAGTTTCAAGAGCAGGGCTGCTGGCCTGATGAGCCTTGGCCTCAGAAACCTCTTGCATGACACCTGCAACGAGGAACCGCCAACATGACCCTTCAAAACCCAAACATATGACATAGAATTAGCCTGATGCTCCACGAACTCTCAAGCGGCTTTGAGCTGTGCGCCCTATCCGTCACCAAGGCACATAAGACAGACGTAGCAGAAGGCCTTGTTTCGTAAGGCCAGGGAAATCTCATTGAGTAAGCCAGTGCTCGGGATTGTCTCCTGAGAAAAACTTGCAACAGAGTTGCTCAGAGTGATTCCGCGTAGCGAGGCAACGCTACGTGTGCGTGTGCGTGTGCTTTTCGCCTGCGTATGCTTTGGCGCGGCGAACTTCGCTGGGGCAGCTGGCATGCGAATCTTGCCAAAAGCTTGCAACCCGAAAGTAACTCCAAGACCCAAATTCTGAAACTGCGGCTCCTGCTTCGGCGGGCGTTCCTGGATGCCACAAAACACTGTCCAGGAGAAGATCCAGATACAGCTGGCGCAAATCACAGCCTCGGGGCAAGGCGGGCAAGGCGGGCAAGGCGGGCAAGGCCTGGAGGCATAGCTTTTTGCCTGGTTGAATTGGTAACTGCGAGGTCTCCTAATGAAGCTCCCTGGTATGTTCATTTCATTGAAACGTTTACCGCTGGATTGCCTGCGGTCATGTCACAAACAATGGTAGCTTGAAGACATGTCTTACATCATTCAGGTTCTGGTTAGCTTGAACAAAAGTTTGCTGCACAACAATGTTCGAGGCCACGCTGTGTCCTGCCTGGCGGCCTGGCGCAGCCAAGCCACACTAACGAGGAAATCTTCCGGACGGGAGGCGGTGCCCACCTAGAAGTGCAGGGGAAACTTTACCTCGCAAGGCCACCATCACTTCAATACGTCAATACGCTATTAAGATCCTCAGCTGGCATAGAGGACATGTTGGAATTTGGGGAAGTTGGGCTCTGCTGACTTCGAGCGTCACTTACACATAAGGCTTGGCATGGACCTGGATGCCCTCCTGACAAATATCGACCTCTGCAGAAGCTGCAGCGAAACTGCTTGCCCGGCCACAAGTCCCGTGTGCAGCACAGCGAAAACAACGCCGCAGGCGTTGCCCCCCACCACCTCAATCTACGTGCCCTTTAGACACAGCATCCTTGTGGATATGCCACGCATCTCTGCAAAGGCCACAAGGAATACACAAGGACCTACGGCCGATGCCATCTTGTTCAGATTGTGCTCTGCCATCCATGAGACTTTAAGTAAGCCGAAGCACACGGAAGCCAGCAGCAATCGTGCGCTCGTGATAGTCGCTTGTAAGTTCAGGAACTAAAGCTCCAATCCTCCAAGACTTGAGTTCTGGAGTTTCTGAGTCGAGGTATTTCAGGCCGAGGTGGCAGATGTTTCTGGGATTAGGTCTTAGATCTTCTCGGGTCTGCCGAGAACTTGGACATCAATTACCTTGGGGCACTATGGGTCTTGCAAAGGCTTGGACACCGCTTTGCAGGGATGGTGAAGATTTTTAGGGCCGGGCTGCTGCTGGGCTGGTACATACCGATCATGGCAGAATTCAGCCGAAACCAAGTTTGGAGGCCAAGTTGTGCATGAGGCATCGTTCGCGAGGTTGATGTTGGAAGAAGGTGGACACCCTTAACGTACTCAGCCCTATGCCAGCTCATCTAATAATATCTTTCAGAAAGAGAAACCATTTTGAGCCCTCCCTGGCAAAGCTCGTTGATCCCCTGTAACCGGTGCCTCTAGCCTGCAACTCTCGAAGTCCGCAACCCCCGAACAGAAAAATGCCGAAAATGTAGCTACCCGAAAACAGCTAGTCTTTTTTGAAATCACCTACATGCCTTGAAGGTTTTCAAGCTTCCGCCGCATTCTAAGGCAGGAAAAACCCAAAACACAATTTTAGCCACAGCGGCACTCTCACCTGTGCAAACTGTCTGCAAGCAAAACAGCTGCAAGACCCCCTCAACTCCTAGAACCTTTCAACTCAGTTCAGCGTCTGGACAGCTATAGATGTCAGACCCAGACTAACCTGGGCGCACCGGCAGGGTTAGGGAAGGCACTGAGCCGCATTCATGTTAGCCGGATTTCAGGGCCTTGGGCAGATGGAGTAAATGACATAACCTGAAAGGCTGGAGCTTACTCATTCTTGTGGTACGCACTGCAGAATCGTCAAGCTCAAAGCTCTTGTCAAGCCAAAAAAAAAACCCAACTCTTGGGACACTCCTTGCGGTGGTCTCGGGTTCCTTCCTGAGAGGGCTCGTTGACGGTAGCATGTTTTGCGGGGCAAAGTTTTGCAGAAATAAAGGACAAAAATATTCAGGGAGAAGATTTGGTGCGTTGAGGCCTAGTGTCAGAGTGAACCACACTGTTGCACATGGTAGGTCACACAAGCGTGTTGTCCACATCAAGTTTCCCAAAAGCAACGATTAAAACGTCTAAGATTCGTGACTCACCGTTTGGGAAGAGTTTTGACTGCAACTGTGCCGACTCTGTCTGCCAAAGCTGCCGGAGAACTCGATTTCAAGCCTAAGCTCCTGACCCTAACGCAAGACAATCCTCAAGAGTGCTCAAGCAACGGCCATGTAGGAGGCCAGGTAATAGAGCATCTTCATCTCCTGCGCACAGACTCTTGATGATTCGGACAATGTTAACCTTACACCCTCCAACGCGAGAAGCACTGAACCTCAACTGTGGTACTACTTTCGGTTTTTAACGGCAAACTTGGGCGACCGCTACTCGCTTTGGGTGGTTGAAGTTGCAACAGCCTTGTGCGGACCAAAGACTGTGTTTAAGCCACGTGCGTCCCGTTGTACCAAAACCAAAATCAAAGCCTCGAAGCTCAAAATGGAAACCAAAGCCTATGTCCAAATGCAAAACCCCCAGTTCAAATACTCATCCCAAGCTTAAAACCCAGTTCTAAGAACCTTTCCTGTGGTGTGTCAAGAGGGAGTCGATTCCAGACGCAGACCTTCGGTGTGCATTAATCAGCATGGTTTTTGTTCAATGCTTGGCGTCTGGGGATTCAACTAATCAGTTCGCATGCTGGCAAACACACAACAGCTTCCAAGCACATCCACGCAACATACGCCACAGCCAAGAATGGCCCGCCAAAAAGCCTGACTGCTGAGCAGCTGGGGTGTGGGGATTGAGGTTTGATGGATTCGCGGTATTCGAGATTGAAGGGGCTGCAGGCTAGTTTGGGTCTTCCAAATCAAGGGCTGAAGAGCTGGTGTGAATGCGGTCCAATAGGGTTTAAGGATTCAACTAAGCATCAATATGAAATCTACAACCGCAGCTTGGCAGATACAAAAAGAATCAACGCGCAAATCCATACCATCAAAGCAGGTGTTCGTAGTCTGGAATCCAGGATTTGGTACCTGGGCCGTCCATGATATTGGAGAATTGCCTGTGCGCGACAAACCCAGCCTGCAGCATGTGGGTCCTGTGCAGGAATTAAAGGTCGGGGATTTGTTCATCCTTTGCCGGCGGATATATCAAGCACCAGACCCGGCAAACCCCAGTCAAGTTCAGCCGTGAAAGCGGGTGACTGATTTTAAAGCCGGCCGCGCACGTCAGGGCCGGAAGCCTTCCGGCACACCAGGCACCAGCCCGCTGGGTGACTTGCCTGAATCGTTTCTTACAGATCTTCGGGCTACGAACCTCGTAGCAGGCTGACCGCAAAAGACTTCAGTTGCTGAACTGGCCGTGCCTTGAGGAGCGTCCTAGTAGTTGTAAGCACGTTTCTTCTTCGCCCTACACATCTGTTCTTTAGCTCTACAACCCACAGAACAAGTGCCATGCCATCCTTGCTGCCCGGCCGGGTGCATCCCAGAGGATTAATCGTGCTGAAGTTGCAAGACATCTTGATGCACTTTCAACTACCATCCTGCGCGGTCTGCGCACTCTGGAGATATTTCTGGCATTCAGACCTAGAAGAGTTGGGATCGTCTTTCGGAGCTGCTGTTGCGGGCTTGCTCTGCCGCAAACTTAGGGCCAACGCAAGCTTTCAGCTACGCTTAACGTGCTAATTTGCGCGTAGAACACACAGAAGATACGGACTTGGAATCCGACTGCCGCAGCAGCGGGCACTACAGAGCGCATCCTGACAGAACCATACCGGAAAGAAGCAGATTCTACCACAGTTCGAGCAGCAGGTGCAAGGCACGCCAGAGCAAAAGGCATTCGCTCCCTGGCAGTTTTTGCGATGTTTGGCTGCATGTTGACCGCTGCGCCGGGCAACAAATTTGTGCTCAGAATGTTTCCACCAGCGGTCCTGTAGCTCACCTCAGTGCACCGATTTGTTCCAAGCCGCTCGTTTCCTAGGTAGACATGGTAGATTTGGACGTTGACAATCACCAGGCTTGGGACTGAAGATACTGATAAACCGAGTCGCTCATGGGACCCAACTAAAAGTCCTGGCCAAGTAAACATGCGCAAAGTCCTTCTTTGTCACAACCACTGATGGCAGGGTCGGCCTGGAGCTTTGGCTTGGAGAACTCCGGGGCCTTGGAGTCATAGAGCACCCACGGCGTCCAATTGTTCGTCGTCCTTAAAAACCGGGGCCTTGCGCCAGGAACAAAGGCACACACCATCTTTATTTTCAATATTGGGCGCTCTTCTCTAAGAGATTCGGTGTGTGCAGCTTCGAAAAATCGCCTTCAAATCCAGAGCATTCACGATACTTGTTGACACAATCACTAAGGAACTTGGTTATATCATTATCATAGGTCACAGCCCTAATCATTATCTCCTGGCCATCACTCATCCTCTCAGATCCATAGTAGACTTCACAGCCCAAGTAAAGACCGCTATCCACTCCCGGCTCTATCTCAATCTCACTGGCCTGACGCAGAAGTGACCAACCCTCCTTCAAGTTCTGAGTGGGTCCTACCATTTTCAGATCATCAACATAAATGACAAATAAAAGTTGGAGCTTCTTGTGGAAATAGACTGAAAGCCAGTTTTCTCCTGTGGGCTCAAATCCCTTCTTCTTAACAGCTTCATCGCAGCACACTTCCCAACTAGTACCAGCATCAGGATGTCCATATATGGCATGCGTGCACAGCTCAACGGGTCTCTTAAAAGAATTGCACAATTTCTTGTACTCATCTGGGATCGCCTTCAGCGGGAGTTCCATCCAACACGTGAGACCAAGGAGCAATGCCTGAAGGTATGCCTGTATAGCATCCGCAGTCTGACAGCTGTTACCCTTCAAACTACCGTAAAAGTCGGCCCATCTAGACGCCTCAAATGGGCGGGTGAACTGCCTGAGTCGGAGAACACCACAGCCTCATTCGATTGATCTGTCATTTGATTGCCTAGACACACCCCCCTGGCCTTGAACTTTCTACGGGGATCATCATCATCTAGGACGCGATGTTTCTCGACCATTATGGAATGCGCTCTAGCAAAGTGGATCTCCTCTCCCGACTCGCGCGCGTCCCTAGCGACATCATCCTTTCCCCTCATGGAGTCAAACGACCAGCACCGTTGTTAAGACCCGACCATTCTTTCTTCAAGGCTTCAAGAGCTGTAGGATTTTGCAACAGCTCCTTTCTACCTACCGGTCGAGATACTCACGTCTTGACAAGATGGCCTCCAGGATCTCCTCCTCTTCTTTGGCAATCTTCTCCTTGTGTTCCTGGACTGAAGCCTCAACGCATTGCACGGCGGGAACAGCACGAGAGCCCGGGGACGAATCCAGCAGGACACCATGTCGCCCTGGGAGCACGAATCCCGATCTCTCAGGATCCTCCGAGTTCCCTTCTCTGCACTTCGGACACCGCATGGAGCGTAGCACGCAACGGTCAACCTTTCAACAGGAGATGGTTCTACGCAGCGCCACGCCCTGCCATCGAAGGTCATAGATTTCTCTGACATGTTTACTCTGCGAGCTATCACCTTAGTAGGGCCGTTCTTCACGCGCTTGTCATTTGGGATGAACGCATTAAAATCAAATCCGGGCCTTTCAGTACGGATCATAGCAAAAATCAATCTCGCAAGCCATGGCCTAATTACGCTTCGTGTCATTGGTAACGCCAACAACACCCCCGCGATTGTGAAGACCGAACACCCAGGTAGCTAACTTTTTCGGAACAGCTTGCCCTGACACCTGGATAGTTCTATAGTTTATGCGAGACTTGAGGTTTGCAAGCTTCAATGCGCTCAAGATGTCCTTTCTGGAACACGTGCCTCGTTGATAGAGATCCTTAGCTAAACTCTCACCTGTATCAAAAATGGGGGTACAGGGCGTAGCGTCGACCTTCTTACCTTCCGAAGCAATCTCCTCCCGTTCCGGAACCCCATAACCATCACCATGGAATTCCATCGTGGAATACGTAACTGTCATCCCTCTCGAATTCAACCTCCACACCGGGCGCAGCAGGCTCGATATCAGTCTCGGCGTCAAACTCCCCAACTCTAACCCTCGCATACCTTTCTACCTCCTCGGCTTCTGGATCTAAGGGCTCTGCACATGGATCTACATCCGGAGACTAGCCTGCAAGATCATCTAATGAGTCCTGTTCATCATCCGCGTCCTCACTGAGAACTGGGTCCTTTTTACCGGACACTTTTGGCTTGCTTTTCTTCTCAATGGCATCCCTAATCCGGATGGCTCCTTCCTTTTCTCTTTCGCTCATCCTGGACCATGCCTCTGATGGGAACTTCTCTTACGCCATCAGATCTTACCCTGTCTCTTCTGCCAAGCTTTTCAAGCTTCACGTTGCACCCATCGTCATCAACGTAGATGTTCCCATCACCTGCAGTACCTTCGGAATAGTGGGCATACCCCTCCGAAACCCGATTCCACCACCAATCCTCCCACTGGTCCATAGACGTGGTGACGGATTGATGGCGGGTCTACCTGCTCAAAGGAGCAGGAAAACCTTTGTGGTTTGGGGGGCGCTGTAGCTGCCCCGTTGTCCTGGTTTCAGAGACCCGCCGGATCAGGGCAGCTCCGCTACCATGCGAAGGCTAAAACCCTGCTACAGCTAGGCTCAGGGCTACAGCAGGAGCCTGTTTTCCCCAAGCACAAAAGGGCTGCGGAGTTAACCCTCTTAAAGGGGAATAGCCTAGCTCAAGCCCTCTAGCTCTTTGGTTTATCCTACACAAGGACGTGTAGGATTCGCATACTTGGTAAAAATCCAGCGGTGGCAGCGGCAAGTACCAGGTGTGGCGCCCTCGACTTTTCAGCAGCGCGTGGAAACATGTTTCGTCAGTGTATGTGCTCTCGCGGGAAGAGCACGGATGGAGTGTGTGACTGCATTCTACGGGGCTTTCCATGTTGGCTGTGAAACACGTTCTCCCCAACCGCATAAAGCACTCCGTGAGATTGCTCTTGGCCTCCCTTGTCAAGAATGCCAGGGTACATAGCAACCTCCCCATCTTTGATCATGAGAGTGGGGTTTCAAACACCGTGCAGGAACTGCAGTATGACTCGTCCTGCCATGACTTGCGAAACTAAAGTCTGATTCCTGGCAGCGGCTCTTGCGGAATAATTTTCCATGGCCAGTTGGCTCTGGGTGTTCGTCATACGACGATGGGGAACATGCTGCATCAGGCGCTGACAACCCCCCGACTTGACACCAGGACCACTGAGAGAGCGAGACTAAAAGCGCAGTGCTGCTGAAGATGTCGATAACTGCTATTTTTTTGATATGACTTTACCTACACTATAGTAACTCTACCAGACGCACTATGTACTTATGTTCAAACACATGGCGGCTTGGACGAAGGCCAGGAAGCTTGAACAACCTTGTCCAGGGCTCACGCGATGGGTTGACCATGTATTATTGCCTGTGACGCAATTGTGACATGTTCTGTCACACCTTTTGTATCCGTTCTTTCGAACCAAAAAAAGGTGCTCTTGACCTGCTCCTAAGGGGTCGGATGTGGTGTGCTTTATGCGTTCTTTATGGGTCGGAAAACGACCCCGCCCCGGGTCACGGCAGATGCCATGCTGACTGGTTGCAAAACGTGGTTTTCAAGGAATCCCCCAGCACACCCCTCGTTGCAAGACGTTGTAAGCTAACGCCTGATGAGAAACTCAACCTCGACCGCGAGGCTAACTTTCGTGATTTGCTCATCTGCGTGCAACATCACTTTATCCAGAAAC